CCTAAACATATTCAGAAAATCAATATCATTTCGAACCATACAATTCGGATGGCCCACAATAGAATATGAAATACACATCGTTTCAGGTTGCAAATTCTCCAATGTTTTACACAAAATGCCAACCAATTCCTCAAAATTCAATTCGCATGAAACATTAATGACAATAGTATCATTCCCATATTTGTACAACAACAACACTGCACTGTCCATCAAAACTGAAAGAAAAAAACAAGAAAAATAATTTGTTCAACATAAAAACACTTTACAAGAACAACATAAAAGTCCAGAGAAATTTCTAATAATTATAATTTTCTCTGGATTATAATAACAAGCTTATAATTTTCTCTAGACTCAAATAAAATTCTGGAGACATTTACAAACTTATATTCACCTTCAAGATAACAAAAACAAAATCATAGAAAAATTAATGAATTCAGAGAGAATCACAGAGAAATTTACTACTAACTATTAAACACAATCATAGACAAAAAAACACACAGAAGATCTGTTATAAAATTATAAGCTTCTCTGTGATTTTCACTGAAGTACAAGTTTACAATTTTCTTTGCGTCATTCTGCAATATTACAGTCATATCAAAATTCAGAGAAATTTACAAACTCATATATACCTTCAAGATAACAAAAAAATAGTGCACTGCCCATCTAAACTGAAAGAAAAAACAGAAAAAATAACTTTTGCTCAGAGAAACAAAAACTTATATTCATTTTCTACAAACTTATAATTTTCTCTGAACTACAAACTGAAAGTGAATAACAAACTTATAATTTTCTCTCAATTACAAATAAAAGTCCAGAAAAATTTAAGAACTTACATTCACTTTCTCAGATTCTATCTGTATTAGAAACTAATAATATGTCCATATGAACTTATAATTTTCTCTGTCATTTTTGTTGGATTATAATAACAAACTTACAATTTTCTCTGGACTATACCAACAAAAGTGCAGAGAACAAAATTTCTCTAGTTTAAACAAATTTCTTCGGTTTGAAAAAATAGAGAACAAAACTTATCATTGATCAGCATGTTGATGAAAAACAGAGCACAAAAAATGAACTCTGATCAGCATGTTGATGAAAAACAGAGCATGAAAAATGAACTCTAAACATCAAAATCAACCACACTGTCAACACTCTTTGAAATTGATCAAAAAACAGAGAATGAAAAATTAATTCCAAAAATAAAAATCAACTCTATCAAGTTGGCCTCTGTCTAAAATTGATCAATAACAGCAAATGAAAAATCAACTCCAAAAATCATAAACAACTTCACTGAGCTAACCTCTCTTTTAAATTGATCAAAACTGAAAACAAAAACCTAATGCAAAAATCCACTCGAAAAACTAATATGAAATCGGAATCCTTACATAAAATTCAAAACAAAAATAAAAAATTCATATGGAATCTCTATCGAAATCATACCTGATTCAACTCCACTAAAAAACCTCCGCGATCAACACACTATAACACCTACACGATCGTCGTAATCTCTATCGTGAAGTCCACTGTAACACTTGCGAAATCCCTACAAAATCTCTAACAAAATCTCTACCGTGAAATCAGTTTCCAAAATCTCACCGTGAAGTCAGCAATTTGCCAATATCCAAACGATCTTATGTTATAACGAGGGTAAATTAGGTATTTTATAACATAAAATAAAGTTTAGGGACCTTAGCCATCATAACATATTATTGTGTACCTCTCCTCTTATTAAAAGTTAGGAAGGGACCTTAGGCAAATTTTTCCATTTTTTTATATCAAATTTTCCTATATTTAATTATTTTGTTGACTTCAAAATTTTAAATAGAAACTGTTCGCAGTAGTATAGAAGTAATTTTTTTGTAAACTACTTGCCTTATAAGAAGATAATTAACATTAATTGAAACAAAACTGCCACGAATCGCAGTAGTATAGAAGTAATTTTTTTGTAAACTACTTGCCTTATAAGAAGATAATTAACATTAATTGAAACAAAACTGCCACGAATCTATATATTAAATATTATATAAGTAAAATGAGATTTTAAATGAGGAGGCTTATGAATTTTTTAATATGTCATACTAATTTTTTTAATTTTAAATAATTAAGAAAATTTTTATTAATTAGCTTTTATTTAACCATATAAAAATAAAACTCTAATTAGTTTATGATGTATTTGATAATCCTACATCGGAAAAGGAAATAAAAAATGAGTTGTTTCATTTATATAAAGTGAATCTATACTCTCATTTAATAATATAGTGTTATGCATGTTTCAATTCAATAGTAGTTTAAATTTTAAAATAAAATTTAAAAGTTTTAATTAATTAATTTTTGTGTAAGTTGGTTGGACTTTTGACGTAGTTATTAGGCTGAATCATTTTTGGTTTAATCGCAATTTTATCAAAATCTATTGGTTAGATTTGTTTCTTTTGAAATAAATTAAAAATTGATCTAATTAAAGATTGGACGACTAAGATTGCTTAAATAGAAATATACTTCTCGACCAAACAATTATTAAATTTTTAAATAAATTTTAGGAAAATTTATTAGAAAGTCCCACCATAGGAACATGCGATCCATTTGGTCCCACGTAATAACTGTTTAATTCACAAGTCCCTTTTATGCGTGATTTGTTATTGACTGATCCTGTTTTCAAACATGAATGGTGTTTGGTTGCCGATAATACCCTCCCATGTTTGTTGGGATGTTTTTGTTTATATTTGGAATATGTAATCCCACATTTTTTGTGGAAGGAGGAAGTTCAGTACACAAGAATAAACAATGTACATGTATCACCACCCAACCATGAATAAACTAAAGTCTTGGGGCTATTTTGGGAAGATGATTATAATCAACTTTTTGATTAAAAGCAGATTATAATCAACTTTTTGTGAGAAAGGGAAGTGGGTTACAATCTGGGAAGTGGATTAAAACTCACTTCCCAAAAGCCCCCTTGTGTTCAAAAAGCAGGGACATGGAGTCCCCACACACAACCACTTACAGGTATGCAACAAACCACCCGACAACAGTCACACAAACTTATGGGACTCCATCGTACACATGAAGACTGTGCACAAACCCCACACAATTTTCACTATGAGATCTGTGTGGCCCATACATCAGTATATAGTGTGCATAGAACTAACATCCACAAACATCAAACACCCTTAGACGTGAAATCAAACAATAACAGTACAATAGTTGGAAAAAATCTCCCACATTTCACACATCTTACAAACTGACGTAAACGATTTCACATAACATGGATGAGACACAAAATTCATGTATTCGTAACAATAAAACACAAACCAACGACTTGTAAAGGATTGTACATTACGTGGGTTTACTAGGGAATGACGATATGTATGTCGGCGATGAACAAGATCCACACCTCAGCTTGAACTTTGTCACAGTACTCTGCTAGATACGTGAATGTTAGGGTTCCATACACCTACAAAAACCCACCCAAAATGTACCTACCAAATTTCTGAAAATAATCCCCTGAATATCAAAAGTGGGATGTAATCACGGATTTTTTGTAATTTCAAACACAACACATGATAGTTGAACATGGCTAGGGTTTCCATCGAGCTACTCAAACGAAATATGTTTCCAATTTGGGGATGTTCCACACAATTTGAATCTCCACTTTCGGGTTGTGAGTGACTATTCAAGCAATCACGGGTTGATCCATTAACTTTGTTCACATTTGGGCCGTCAGTCCGGATTTGTGTATCGACCCTTGCGTTCATGTCATACTCTTATGACGTTCCACAATCCCACATTTTACATTATTCACATCACCACTAAAATCATGCTACTACCATTTTTGAATTAACGTGAAACACACCGCCTTATTTTCGTAAATGATCAACCAATACCTTTTTGGCAAACAAACCACAAATAGTCAACAATTAGTCTAAAGGACTACACAGTGTACAAGAAAACATTTTGGCCCCGTTTGTTATCCGCTATCACAGTCCACTCCGGACTGTGATAGATGAACAGTAAACAAAGCTTCCGTTTGTTTTGATTTTGGAACTCCGGATTAGTAGTCCGAAGCGACTCTGATGGGCCTTGCCAAAGGATATTAGTAATCTGGAGTGAGAGATGGTATTAGCAACTAGTCCATTCGGATTGGGTGTTACAGGACGTTCGCCCGGACGTCCGGCCGGTCAACCGGTCAACATTTTTTTTTTTTTTAACTTCTTGGGCATTTTTTTAAAAACATTAATGTTTAATGTTTTTATATTTTTTGTTAAGTAAAAATCATAATTTTATTTGTTTTATTTTTTTATATAAAAAATAATTTAACAATCCCCTCACTAACAAAACAAACACAATTTTACTAATACTCTCACTATGAAAAGAAACACAATTTTACTAATCTCCTTATTAACAATCCCTTTACTATCAATACCTTCCATTCTACCCCTGAAAACAAACGGGACTTAGGACCATATGGACCACACCATTACAAAATAGAATTTATTGGCCAATCTCTCTAAACTTTATATTATTATTTAATTTTAAAATTGTTTTTCATGTGCTGGTTGGATTTATGGAAAAAATGGCATTTTACTAGTGATTTAAATTTCTATTCCTTTCTCTACAACACTTTGCCGTCACCGGTCAGCGGGCACCGGCAGCAAAGAGCATCTCCTCGAGCGGCGAGCCTGCGAGTAGTGAGCACCGGGACTAGTGATCTCCTGGACGATAAAATCTCATTCATAATCTGATTTCTCTGATCTCACGGTACTCTCTCTGTGATCTCATTCTCATCCCTCTTTATATATATCTCAGCCTCCCCACACGGTCACACCTGCCAATCTTCATATCGATACTGATTGCATTTGCTAATAATACTATTAATTGAATTTGGTTGTATAAAATAAACAGGCGTTAGGACCATATGGACCACACGATTACAAAATATAATTTATTGGCCAATCCCTCTAAACTTTATATTATTATTTAATTTTAAAATTGTTTTTCATGTGCTAAGTTGGATTTATGGGAAAAATGGCATTTTACTAGTAATTTAAATTTCTATTCCTTTCTCTGCAACACTTTGCCGTCACCGGTCAGCGGCATCGGCAGCAAAGAGCATCTCCTCGAGCGGCGAGCCTGCGAGTAGTGAGCACCGGGACTAGTGATCTCCTGGACGATAAAATCTCATTCATAGTAGTGAGCACCGGGACTAGTGATCTCCTGGACGATAAAATCTCATTCATAATCTGATTTCTCTGATCTCACGGTACTCTCTCTGTGATCTCATTCTCATCCCTCTTTATATATATCTCAGCCTCCCCACACGGTCACACCTGCCAATCTTCATATCGATACTGATTGCATTTGCTAATAATACTATTAGTTGTATTTGGTTGTATTGAATTCAGAATTTATTGACATTCATGATAATTGTTTTGCTGCTGAATGCTGATGATACAGATTATGTAATTTTTTTTATTATTATTTAATTGTGGGGGGAAAAATGTCCTACATTTCCTATAAAATTTCTATCAAGTCCTGTCAACACTGCGTCTAGAGGGTTCAGTCATTCATGTGTTAATGACTGGATGAAAATTTTATAGGTAAAGTAGGACTTATTGGGAATTAGTAGATTTTCCCCATCTTCATTAGTCCTTTTTTATTTTATGTGAAAACTGTAGTATGAGTTTGATTTTCTGGTTGTATATGCTGAATAATGCTCATAGTGTTTTTCTATTTGATTTTCTGTTTAATGTCAATGGTGTAATCCGCCAACTCAAAAGCATCTGATCTGAATATATCAACCAAACCGCCTGTTTTTCGTGAACTGCCGTTTTGGCTGTGGTTGACAAAAAATAATCTGTCATTTGTGGTTTGGTTTACAGTTTTTCTTTACTCCACTCCACGCTGACCTGTGCACAACCTACTTGCTTGTGCTTTCTCATATGAATGTCCCAAAATGTATGGTCCATAACTCTGTGCATAATCCACCACAATAGCCTTCTAATTCCTAACCAAACTGAAAATAGCTAGAAATGATGCTACTCCTAATGACATTTGTGCCTCCAAAATTTTACCCTTTATCCATTTCCATGGATATGCTAGTTTTTATTTTATTTTTATGCATATGAGCCCTAGAAATGGTTGAATCATGAAAAAGTGTATAGCGCATCTATCCTTCACACACACACACACACGCATATATATATAGAGAGAGATGCATTGCTCTGCCTGTAGATGAATCTTATATATCATAACAAATTTGCTTAAAAACAATTATTTTATGAGTTTAAAGCAATAGTTGGGGAATCCTAACACCCTTTGAAATGAATCCAAACCTGAAAATGAATATTGGTTTTTTTTTTTAATTTTAATTTTTAAGTTTTTTTTTTAAATTATAATTGATGGAGTTGCAATATGTTAATCTACTGAAGTATAGAACTGATTTTCAGTCAATTCCAATTCTACGCAACCAAATGCTTAGTGTAATTGGAATATGAATTTCTTTTGCACTTCGATTTATGATTGTTGCTTCTTGTTTGTTGAATGCATACAGAGAATGCACACAATTTACTCCTCTCATATTCTGATATTTTTTCCTCTCTGTCCTCCTGTTTGTCTCTCTATGTCTATAGGTATACCTATTGAACATTTGGATTTGTTGAACAAGATGGTGGAGGTTGCAACAACTAAACTGGTAAAGTGTTTAACCTTTCTAGTGCATCATATGAATTCATACATGAGTACTGGTAGCACAATACAAATGTCTAAATATCACCTTTTTTCTCAGCCTCCTGTTTAGGCTCACTCTTTATTCTCTTGCTTTTTATTTACATACATACATGCCTAATTATGTGTGTAGGGTCAGTCATTTGGTGGAACAAATGATTCCCAGAAATCTGTGTTTGATTTGGTAGACTTTGCAGGGGATTTAACTGTTGAGGAGGACACAAACAGGTATGATTCTTCCCTATGGCAATGCAAGCACAAAATTAAGGATTTTTGTCCTTCGGTCACTAAATAAATCATCTTGCGCCAAAAGTATTTGCTTATATATACATATATAAATTATGCAATGGGGAGGAAGTATGCAGGTTCTTCAAATCCTGAGGACAAATGCTCTGTGGATTGTGGACGTAATGTATCGTAGTTATTTGTTTGTTTGTTTGTTGTTAGCCAAAGTGTATATTAATTGAAGGTTGAACCATGTGGTGCTGTGATACAATGAAGAATAATCTAGAACTTCACCAATTCGGTACCTTATTAGTTTGTAAAAGTCTGGAATCTGATAGAGTATTATGTATTTTGATTATGTTGTCTTGAGTTTGGAAAGAGGATCATGGATCATGTATGTTGATTCCATTGTTTGGAATCAGAAATAGTAAACTACTACTTGAAGACTAATTAGCTTTGCTTTATCTAATGTCATCTTATGTAATATGACAAGGTTTTCACCTTTTTTTTCCTTTGGTTTTTCTTTCTCTTTCCTTCTATTTTGGAAGGAAGGGAGGGATTGGTGGCTGGGCTGAAATTACCAATTACACTAGATAAATTATACTATATTGTGATTGATTTTATGAGGTAGGATTTGTGGAAATATATTATTGTAGATACTGCTATATGATCTCTGTTCTTAATTGATCTGAAAGTCAACATTTTAAATGGCTGGAAATGGGAATTTGACTTTCAATGTTCAGCAAGTTCGGGTGTCCCCAGAGCAGGCTATTCATGAAATTCTTAGATGATCTTTCAATAGAGTTATTAGGAAATAAAACTAGCTACCAAGAAATATGCTTCTCCTGGGATCCTCATTTGGCAGACATATGCTTTTGGATATTGGAGCTTAACCACAGGTCTTCAACCATTGCTTATTTGCTGGAGAACAACCAATTCCCTGCCCTACCAGTTTTTGGTCAAACAAACAAGTAGTTTTGTCAGTTTAAGAGAGTTGAGTCATAAGAATTGTTGCCTTTTGCTTTCTATTGGGGCTTGTGACAAGAATGGATTGGGGAGCTTCATTCAATCGTTTTGAAGACTCTTGTATAACTTTACTAGTAGTTTTTATTCTAATAAGATTCTGGAAGCGTTTTCTGATCACGCCAAATTAGCTTGATAGTATTTTCTGATTCAAGGCACTATGCTTCTTGAGCAAATGAGTTATAGGTTTTATATAAAGTGATCTGCCCTTTTCCTTTTTTATTATGGATTACCAGAGGTATATGTTTTCAGGAAAGGCAAAAGTTATAAGGGGATCCTCTATAATGTGCCACATATTTTGGAGCTAATGTAGACAATATACCAATTTCTCTAAATAAATTATTGGTGATGCAGATGTGGTGTTTATTTTTGACCCATCCTTTGTGGATTGTGTCCTCTTTGTTGTTTCTGCCTCTAATTTACTGTATTTGGCACATAAGAGTGTTAGAGTCAATCAATCAGTATCCTTATGGTGGTTTTTGAAAAAAATAAAAATAAGAAGAAAAAAAGCAATCGAAGCCCTCTCTTCTCATGCATAACAGTGACAGAATGTTGTTTATTTTTGAAATTTCATGTTATTTTTTTCTTTTCCAAATATTTTAATTGAGGAAGCACTATAAAGTTTTTATTATTTTATTTATTTTTTAAAAGAAGCTTTTCCTTGTGTGGCATTGGTGTTCTTAGTTTTCTATATGATTTTATTTTTTATTTTTATTTATTTTTTGATTGGCACTGGGGTGTATGGATCAAAGCCCTACTAATCTCCAGGGGTGCCTAGGGGAGAGTCATGGGCCTGAAATGGGGTCTGTATTAGTTGAGGATTAAGATTTAAGACTCTAGGGGTTCAAGTCAATTTGAAATTTCATTTGATAGTGATGTTAGAGGTCATTTAATTTTAAAGAAGGTGGTTTAGGTGTACTGGTAATGTTGAAATTTTCACTTTCACTAATGATAAAGGTGGTTGGCAAGTAAATGTACAGTTTTGTATAATTGGTTTTGAAGGTGAGAGAATTGGCTGGTGTAGGTGTGAAGGTGTGAGAGAAGAGAAATGAATTCACAGGGTTTCATGAGGAATGCAAGGATAAGAATAATAAGGGTAGGGGGAAATTATCATCTAGGTGGAAAGGGAATTGAAAAGGCTTCAATGTTCAGTTATTTATGATGTACAAAAGGAGAGTGAGCCTATAGTGGACAATGTGAGGACAAGAACAAGGTCAGTTGTCAGATGGAGCACTCCCATCTGGGGGGGGTGATTTTATCTAATAAAACTATTAGTGCTTTGTCATATTCATGGAAGAATTCAGGAGGCAATTCAAGGAGAAGCATTTGGAAATCACATCTATTTTTGCTATCGCTAAAGCAGTGGAGAAAAATGGAAATCGCTGTCAGTAGTTGATAAAGCACCTTATGTGATGTTGGAAAGATATTGAAGAATTTCAGTTATTGGGCGTGGATGGTTTTTGTGGCTTGTAGTAGGAATGTTGGGTTTTTCTTTCATATTTTTTCTTCTTTTTCTCTTTTCCTTTGATTGTATAAGTGTTGTGCCCCCTTGGCACATTATCTGATACAATTTTATGTCTTGACAGTCAAAAAAAAGAAAAAAGAAACAATTGCTGCTTGTGTTATGCAGCATCCATCTTCGTGTTCTTAACCTGACATAATCGTCCTTCCATTTTTAATTACTACTTAATCCAACATTTGTGGGCCAATTTTATTAATGTTAGGCATCCTAAATTGATATTTGATTGTGTTGTTACAGTGGTGATATATCACTTGAAGGACTAGGGCAAGAGCTAGAAGAATGTAAAAATGATGATGTAAGTGAAGTATTATTTTCTTTTTCAGTCGCTGTTGCATGCTTATCTTGTTGATACTTTTTCAGTTTGTTCTTATTTTTAACTCTATTCCCATTCCTTTTGTAGTTTGCCATTCGTACTCCTAATTTTTGTTCCTCTTAAAAAAAAGTACAAAGGTTGTTTTTGGGTCTAAACTTAAGATTGCATATTCAGCTAAAAAAAAGAAAGAATAGAGTCTAGTCTTATATCTAGGTCATGTTACTATTGGTGAGAAGCTATCTTACCTGAACTTTTTCCCTTACCCCGAGGTGCCCATTTCAGCCCTTTATGACATCTGTATGGGTGGAAAATATGATACCTCAATGTAATAAATGGAAGGAAGAGAAGAAAGAAAGAAAGAAAGAAAGAAAGCAAGCAAAGGATGGATGGAACAAAAATAACTATGTTTTGTGAAAGTTGACATTTCCAGTGCCTGGAGCCTTTGCTGGTGGTGGAAGTGGTCACTAAAAGTAAAACGGAATGCTAGTGTTGTTTGCTCTCCTGTTTTGGTTTTGGAGGTGGTAGCCTGCATTTAACTGAAATTAATGCCCTTGACAGTGCCAAATAACAAAATAGGATTGATGTAGCTGCCCTGATTCCTAAATAGTTGGGATAATGTTTTGTTGAGTTGATCAGATGTAGCGTTCACATTCTTCAATGGGTTTTGTAGGCAGTTTTGGCATTTTTTGAATTCCCTTCTTATATATAGTCACAATTTTCACTAAAGTTGATATGATCTTTATTATTAGGATTGCTGGATGGCTTCTTTGCTTCTATAAACTTCTGCTGGTCATGACCTTATATATGTTAGATAGTTTGATATACATTGTTGGGCACATTTTCTAACAGCTTAGGCCTTTGGAAAAATTAGTGACCTAACACGGTATTAGAGAACCTTCTGGAAAAAAAAAAACACGGTATTAGAGCTCAGGTTTAGAGAGGTCTTGGGTTCAAGTCTCGTTGTTGGCATTTCGTATTCTTTCCCCATTTGGTTTCTTCTTCTCAGTTTGCTTCTCCTTTTGTTTGTCTCTCCATGTGTGAGACGGGGTTGCACGTGAGGGAGGGTGTTATATAGCTTGATATACATAGTTGGGACCATTTCCTAACAACTTAAGCATTTGGGAAAGTTGGTTACTTAATAATTAAAGGAAGTAATTTATTTCTATTTCAATTATTTGTCTTACAGGTTGTTGCAAACATACTGTCTAAAGGTACGAAATTGCGGGAATATACGAAGGGTGTTGAAAACAATTTATGGCAAGTTGAATTGGAGTCGATTCAGGTTGGTGATAAGATTACAGATTTCATCTTGGGAACCAACGGTTTTGGTATAAAAATTTAGCTGTTTTTTCTTGTAAACTTGAGCTTTCATCTATGGGAAAACTGTAAATTAAATCTTTTCTTTTCTCAATCACACTACCATGGTGCTTGTTGTAAATTAATTCTTGTTGCTTTGTTAACAACAAATTCTTTAATCCTGATGCCAAGTGGCTATCTGTTTCAAAATTTGCTGTTACTATATCAGAAAATAAGCTTCTTGACCACCTTCCACTTGGCAGATACTTTGCAAATTTTTAATGTAGCATGCCAATGTTATAACCTCAACAAACTCTTCTTGTCACACCGCATGGACTCCCATTTTTTTTTACTGTTTGAGAAAAATTGCCTCAGTTTTGCAGAAAAAAATTGTTATTTTTTTGCTATTTGTTACATCAGTATCATAGTCTAAAAATGAAGTGCAATTTCATTTGAATTTCATTTGAGACAGTTGGGCAAGCTCTTTAATTGTATCTTGGTATCTCTTTCTTCTTTCCATTACTGTAGAATATCTTTATACTTAGTGCTTTCCGTTTCCATATCAGGATTATATAAAAGAAAGTGATAATCTGCTCTCGCTTCATGATCAGATTCATGATTGTGACAGCATCTTGTCACAAATGGAAACTCTACTAAGTGGATTTCAGGTACCTTAACTCATCTTATAGTCATTTACATAGTGACTGGTTCTTTACTATTCCTAACGATAATAAACATGCAATTTGAATTGTTGGACTTCATATATTTGAATAGGAATTTCTCAATGTTCTTGCTGGAAAAAGAAACAATTACCTTGTTTGGTTTATGATTGATTTTCTGAAAATTGAGTTTTTTTTTTTTGTTTTTTTAGTGAATTTTTAAATATTTTAAGCAATTGTTTTTTACTTTTCAGATGCGCATAACTTAGATGCACCTAAAAAGTAAAATATTTGTAAAATATATTTTAAAAAATCAATAAATAACAAGAATACGAAATTGTGTTGAATTTTTGTATTTTTTTTTTTTTTGCATTTTTGGCGTTTAGTCAATTTTTAAAGATTTTTTTCACAAATATTATACTTTTTAAGTGCATTTAGATTAGGTGCATCAAAAAAGTAAAAAAATTTCTTAAAATATTAAAAAAATTTACTAAAAATAAAAAAAAACATAGAAAACAAAAAACTCAATTTTCAGAAAACCAGTGTAAACTGCTGGCGGTCCCTCTTTTGAGACCTATACTTGATTATTATGTCTTTAGGATACCATCCAAAAATCATAAGCTGTGATATTTCTGAAGTTTCACTATATGATAACAACTGATGAATAAAAATTCAATTAAGATTACTTAGAAAATATGAGGAAGAAGAACTCCGAAAATATGAGGAAGAAGGAATATATTTCTGTTATATTCAAAACTTCTTATTTTACAAGACCAAATGACACTCCTTATATAGGAGATATTACAAACATCATTATAACCCATTATATGCCACTTACATATTATTTTTTTCCTTCTTAGTACTTTTAAAGATGGAAAGTAAGTTTTTTTTTTTTTTAATGAATAATTAGTTATATTTATATTATGGGGCATTTATTCATAAATCCCTCTTCACCTATTTATGTTCCACTTAGTCAAAATTATTTTCTTATGTTTATGCGTGACATAGTTACTAAAATACCCCTAACAATAATATTTACATTAACAGTGTGAATGTTCCTTGATGTGAACGTTCACACTGTCAATGTGAACATTCACACGTCAATTTGAACATTCACACTGTAAAATATGAATTTTCACATCACCAAATTGCTAAGCATTTAAAAAATATTTGTAAGGGTAAAATTGTTCATAAAATACCTTAAATATTAGAATTAGGATTTGGTGGATTAAATGTCTAAAATAATAGGACTAATTTGAATACAAGAATATTTTATGGACTAATTGGAATACAAGTACTTGAAAAAGGATTTCATAATAAATCCCCTTTATATTGTATTATATATAGTGTTTCTCATGTACAACAAACAGCTTATCTCCTTTCAAAGTTACAAATTATTTGTGATATTGCTGCATTTAAACCTTTATGCATTATATCCTAGACTGCTAGTTCCATTTCCAGTTTACTTGATGGATGGGGAACATTCTTTTCCTGCTTTTATTGCTTTAGATTTGTTGCTTTCTCTCACTGTTATATATCAATATTAAGCTCTTTTTTTTGTTCTAAGCTGTCAATTCTGTGGTACTTGTTTATGCATGCTGGGAAGGGCAAGTCAGCATCCTTGTCTACTTAAGTAGATGATTTATTGAGGTATTAATAATTTGCAATTGTCGCAGGGCAACTCAAAGACACAGAAGGCAATACATTTATTTCAAAACAGTGTTATTGATGGCTGATACCTTACTAACAATAGGAAGCCAGGGGAAAAAAGAAAATTCAACCACACTAAATTTCTTTGCTCCAGGGGTTCACCAGATGAACTGCCCCTAGCAAATCTTTAATTTCTAACATGTGGCCCATGATAGCCTTACTTGTTTAAGCATATCATGCCCACAGAGTATGTGGACTAAATGGTTCTATGGATCTAAATTATTCTAAGGAAAAAATGACTAATGACTGGACAGAAAAAATTTTCCCCCTTTCTTTTTTGGTAATCTGCTGGCTTTTATTATTCATTTTATTTTATTTTTGGTTCATTCACAGGGAATGAGAATGTTTCCATTTTTACTCTCTCTCTGTTGCTTACTCTTTGTTACCTTAAATCTTGTGTCATCAAAATTACTAATATTCCAGAGAATATGTGCTAGGCTGAGATTGGCTCTATAAGTTCAGACATAAAAGTTCTTCAGGAGAAGTCGATGGATATGGGACTGAAGTTGAAAAATCGCAAGGTACACTTTTATTATAAGCTCTGTATATTGTTCCAGAAATCATGTTTATATTAATAAATTATAGTTTAAGAAGCCGCATTAATTGGCTCTTTATTTATTTGCTTTTATATATTATAGAATGTGCTCATCATCTTGTAATGCATTCATTCAAAGAACTGATGTCATTCAGTTGGATTTGCATTATGCTGAATTCATGAAGAAACAGCTCTTATCGAAAGGCACGTAAAGAAGTGGATATTGTTATGTTCCTTGAAGGTCAATGTGCCTTGTAAAGGATATTGTTATCTTAAAGAAGTGGCAATAGTTTCTCTCTCTAGTGCAATGTAGGGTTAGTGGGTCTTGCCCTATTTATGCTTACATTCCTTTTGTGGTTAAATTGTAAGTGTCATCATGAAAGAAGTGGCAATATTTCGTGGCTTCAGGTTCTGCAGCATACGTATGAGTAGTTATTATACAGTTGGTGCCTTGTGCTCAGCAACCTGGGGCCACACTCACTTGCTCAAGGAAAATACTAAAGTTTTCTATTTTATCTTTAATGTAATATGTTTTTTGTTGTGTGTTCTGGAGTACTCTTGGACCGCAATCGGAGATATCATGTCACTAATTTAGGTTCTTGATGTGTTATTAGGGTGCAATAGTGGGAAACTTATGTTCTATTAGTTACACTTCTTGGACATAGAAACCTAGTAGGGCATGCCCAACGCATGTTTAGACATGTGTCCAAATATGTCTTATTATGTTTTTGTTCTTTTTAAATCAGATACTCTCTAGTGCTCTTTTGGTTCAAGGTGGTTTGGACTAAAAAGGTCCAATTTTGTAGGTTTTTGGTCCAAAATTTTGTCCCAAATCAAAATGAAACCACTTAGAGCCCAACTATGTTTTTTAGTCATTAAAAGTCTAGTAAAATAATGGTTTGGCCTGAGATCACTTCGTACTGATAATTCACTTGGCTTATTTTTCTTTGGCTTTCTCAAGTACCATTTGAACTCCATCTAGCAGTATATATCCATATCTGTTAGTTCAACAACCTTCACTTTACTATTCTACTACGAAGCATGGACACTCCAAAATCGGTGCCGCAGTGGTGTCCGACACGGGGACACGCCCGGGACACATATTTAATTTAATGATTTTTTTGTAAGGGATACGGCGCGGACACGCGTGTCCATATCGGGACATGGAGGGCTCACCTTTTTTTTTTTATTTTTTTTCTTCTTTTGCCTCTCTTATTTAGTGTTTTTGTGAAGAATATTGTTGGATGTTAAATGTTTTTCCCTTCTCGTCTTTGTTCTTGTTATCGTTTATTATGACTTTTTTTGTGAATGGATGATCTATTAATTTGTTTAAATGTAGTGGTTATATTTATTGAATTAAAAGTTATTATGTTAGTGTCTATTAATTTTGATTTAGGATGAATGTAATATGAATCTACATAACACATAAAAATATGTAAAAATAAAAATAAAAAACTTCACCATGTCTCCTGCCGTGTCTGTGTCCTCATTTTTTGAAAATTGCCGTGTCCCGTGTCGGTGTCCTTGTCCGTGTCCGTGCTTCATAGCTATTCTATTATTGTCTTTTTCTTTTATTATTTTTTAAATATTGATTTTCTAATTTTTTCCAATCTTCTCGATTCTTTACTTTTTGTTTGAATGATAATTTCTAGAAGTTGGTTTATGTTGTCTAACAGGTGGCAGAATCAAAACTGGCAAAATTTGTTGAAGATATTATTGTCCCACCAAGGATGATCGACATAATTGTAGATGGAGAGGTACTTATGATTTTACTGATTCATATGCACTTTCTTTCGGAGAAAGAATTTATATTGTTAATGTTGCGGTGGTGTAGGGCCAGAAAGACGGAAATGGCACAAGAACACAACTAGGGCTTTCAGACAAGAAGAATAGAAGAAAGAATAATGAAGAAGAAGAACAATAAATGGAAATTACACTTCCAAAATGACTCTCAATATTCAACAATTAATCATCAAAGTCTAGGTATACAGACAATTACATAAGATGCCATATATTCAGAGGCATAAGCACCATCTAATTAGGTAACTCATAAATAGGAAACTGTAGAATTAGAAACTACCGGTAAAGATAAAAAAATCTTATTCAATCAAAATTCCTAATAATACTAAAATTTAACAATTCTTCAAATAATTGTCATCCCATGCCTTTGTGATGCCTATCATCATGCGGCCTCTTTCACAAGTATGCCTTGGAGATCTTTGAAATCAAGTGTATATACATGGAAAATAATTCAATATAGCAAATAAAGTTCTCATACTGTTCCTCTCGTTGGCAGATTATTGAAGCTTTAATCATAAATAAAAGAATTACACAATATGTAAGATACAGCAACACACATTTTCCTAGTCCGCTCCATCTAAAAAAGAAAAAAAAGAGAGGGTAAATTACACTTTTTACCCTCCAAGTTTCATTCAAAATTTACTTTGGGCCCTCATTGTCTAATTGCAACAATCAAATCCTCAGACTTCAAGTCGTATTTCACTGTAGTCCTCTCATCACTCACCATTAAAAAAACTGGACAGAAAGCTCATGTGATGGCCACGTGAGCGTGAGCATGCTTTAAGGGCATTAAAGGAAAAAATTATGAAAAATATACACTTTCACCCTTCTACTTTCACTCAATTCCACTTCAGTTCATTTTTCATTTAAAAGTGGGGGAGCAAAGTGAAATTCAAAATGAAAAATCCAGGGGGAAAAGTGAAACTTACCCAAAAAGAAAATAAAAAACCATTACCTACTGCTGGTCGACATTAAGTACATGTATCTAGATCTCCTACATGACTCACCATGGCATTTCCACATGAGGCTGCCATTCTCCATGAAGAAGCCATCCTCCGTGAGGCAGCCATCCCTCTATAAGGCAATTCATTCTTCATGAGGCAACTCTTAGGTCTCTCACTCAGTGCACTCAGAACACTCTCTCAGCTCAGCTGTGAACCTCGCCACCCTGAGTGCACATCTCCTAGTCCTAATACTTCACTAAAGGGCACCCTTATGCTGCTAACCAACTCAACTCGAGGGAGGGGCACACACTTGTGCATTTATGTGGAATTGTTTCTTGATTTAGCTTTGCTAGATATGCTTGTAGTTTTCCTGAAGTGTACAGTACATGTTGCTGATGATTTGGCCATTAAAGGTGGAATTATTGTGTTTCTGATGTTTTCATTAAAGCTACTAACCTAACTGCTTTGGAATTCATCTTTAGGTTAATGATGAATATATGAGAACTCTTGAGAATCTGAGTAAGAAGCTGAAGTTTGTTGAAGCGGATGTCATGGTTAAAACTTCAAAAGCTCTAAGAGATGTTCAGCCTGAACTAGAAAGACTTCGGCAGAAAGCAGTCTCAAAGGTTGTTGAGTATATGAAGTAAAGTAACATGTGCATTGATAACTATAATTATTTAGATATGTGTGCAACTTTATGTTTGACCTTCATATTATCATGAATCTTATATTTCTTTTTAGATGATGTGCTTTTAATACCTCTCCCTAAGGAACACAGATACGAACACTGGATACAAATATGACACAATACGGACATGCCAACATGACAATTTAAAAAAAGATCAGGTCACAACAACACAGACAGAGACATGACCCCAAATAAATATTTATGTATATGCATAATACATGTAAATAGTAACTACATTTGTTTTACTTTACAAACTCATTTATATTTTATTATCAAGAAAGATCTGAGTGATCAGTGCAATCATGTTGAACTTACAGCCTTGATGTTTCTTTTTTAATAAATTTTTTCTTTTTTTAATTTTTTGGTAGATGAACTAAAGTTAATTTCCTGTTTTTGATGAGACTAGATTCATTAAGGATGATCTGCAGACTGGATGTTTTGCGGATGCAATCCGAATGATGTAGTTAGAATTAGTATGGTGATTATGTTTTAGTATCATAAAAGTTAGTTGTGTCTTTTTGTAAAAAATAAATTGATGTATATAGAAATAGAGAGAATGAATTATGTATTATTTATTGATGTATCTTGATATCTTATATTACAAATCAGAGTGGCTCATTATATAGGAGAGGGTTTGGGTAGTAGGTGAGGAGTAGGTGATGGTAAATTGGTGGTATGTGTAGTAGGTGTGGTAGTAGGTGGTGGTAGGTGTAGGTAAATTCTAACAGCCCCCCGCAAACTCAAGGAGGATAGAAACTAACCAACTTGAGTTTGGAGAGAGTAACAAAACAAGAAAATACATAAAAATAAAAGAGGATAGAGGGTTTGGGTAGTAGGTGAGGAGTAGGTGATGGTAAATTGGTGGTAGGTGTAGTAGGTGTGGTAGTAGGTGGTGGTAGGTGTAGGTAAATTCTAACACTTTTATTCTATAAACATGTGGTTAGGCCCTTCTAGTATTCAGATTATGATATTTTTTTTATATTGAATATTTTGGAGCTTGAGAGCTGTTGTATCCCAATTTGGGACTTTCTCTCTCTAATGAAATCTCTTTCTTGATTTGGCACCATCACCAAATCCCCTGCAACGTCATCAATCCCTACACCAATTGCTACAAAAATCAAAGTAACACTCAATCAAAAGAAACTTGTGATTTAGAGTTTTAGGATGATGGGAATAAATAGAAAACGAAAACTTGTCTTTTTCAAAGTTCTCCTTAAAATGAGAAGTGACTATCAAAATCCAAAGATTATTTTCATCTTCGAATTTGATCTTGATTTATCTATCACATTTTACTAAAGGAAATTTGCTTATTCTATGAATGGTTTTCAGTACTGCAAGTTGTCATGAAAATTGATGTGGAACTTTCTAAACCAGTCCCTTCTCCACATCTTGATGTGGATCATGAGATGTACAAGGAAAATGAAATTATGGAGAAATCAGTTAATTATTGACGTGGAGGTACTATGGGGCTGGATAATTTATGTTATTTTGGAATCTTAAAGTACTTTTTTAAGATTTAGGTTAGAATATTATTTTTATATGTTTTTTGTTTCTGGATTATTTTGGTAATTTTGGTTTATTTAACCTTGTATTACTTGATGTTGGAGTAATCTTGTCAAGTAAGTCGTTCCCTTTTATTTATTTTTTATCAGCATCAAAAAAGTTTGTCTCATGATTTGACAAATTGGACCAGACTATTAATATTGTTCTAGGAGTTACTTCTATAGCTCTATTCACTGAGAGCAGCAGAGCCATAATTTTCTTGCTGGCAATTTTAAAATTCAGATATCTTTATCTGATGATGATTTTCATGTTAGTCTTGCATAGGGTGCTAAACATTTGTTGTCCATTAATATATACTAATTGCTTTTCTGTAATATGAAATAATTTCCCCCCCTTTATGTCCCTTTTCCTGGTCTTTAGGTGTTTGAGTTCATCGTTCAGAAGCTTTATGCATTGAGAAAACCCAAAACAAATATCCAGATACTTCAACAGAGTGTTCTTCTAAAATATATGTAAGTGGTCTCTGTGCCCTCACAATGGTGCTTATATCATTTGGAGATGTGGTTTACATATTATTTAATTTTCTTTGATTAATATTACATTCATTGGCCATTAGGGGGCTATGTTTTCATTGATAATATGTTTTTTCAATGCTATTGCTTCTATTTTGTTATTTGACTTAGTTCTGGTACATTTATTGTATGCGATCTAGTCAGAAATTTACGATGTCATTCATGATGTCAATTCATCATGAGTCAATGACTTGGTTGTTTATTGGAATTAAGTTTACTAGCTATTAAGTTCCTATTATTTGGAACTGGTGTATTGGGCCCAGTGGCAATATGGGAACTATTGTGGAGCGGAAGTTAGTGTTTGAATCCCATAAAAAAATGTTACTGTTAGTACTTGAGAGCTCGATGTCTTGTTTGTATATTCTTTGCTGATTTCCTTCTCTTTGCATCTTCTTCTTTGCTGATTTTTTCTTTTATCTGCTTTTGTTTTGCTAATCTTATTTCATCTTCCATTGCTGTTCTTCTGTTACTTCTATTCAAGTTTTAGTTTCTTCCATTATCATTTCATTTTTTTTCTGTACTTCGAGTTTCCTTTTCTTTTTCATTCCTACATCGTGTTCTTTTGCTCTTCTTCAAGTTTTAGTATTTTCATTGTTGCTTCATCTTCTTCGGGTTTCGTTTTCTTTTCTATTGCTCCTACTTCACTCTTTCAAGCTGCTGCTTCTTCCTTTGCTGTGCTACAGTGGGAGGAGAAAAACTTTTATTCAACAGAAATGAGGATTGCATCCAAAATTTGTCTTTTCTGTCAAAGGAGCCTCCAACAATCCTCCTCAAACGGAGAGCCAAGACTTTTGGTAACAACTTATAAATACAACCCACCAGGTTCATAGATCAAATATTTTTCAATTGAGGCTCCTACACCATCCAAATTGCTGAAATATTCTTGACCCCCAAACCCTAATAAAACAAATAAATATGACTTGCAGTATAGTAAATTCGAATCAATATAAATTAGGACTTAACTCAATATGTTGGGTGCTTCCCATTGGACCAAAAAGCTTTTGCAGTTGTCATGGGGTCTGCACTAATACATACAATTTCTCTCTATATCAATTTTTCTTACAGGCACTATTAGCTATGGTGAAATCAAGTTTATTTTAGCTCCTGGTTTATCATGTTCATGAGCCAGTTTGGGCCAAGTAGAAGGCTTGAGCACAGCTCATGAACATCATAGAAAATTGTGATCTACAGTTATAATCTAACTTGGACATGCTAGGATGTAAGTGTCACATTTATATTATTATTGTGTGCAAGTGAGGGTAATTCTATTTCCATACCACACTTCATCTTAGTGCACACCATTTCTGCCATTTGATATCAACTTCCGAACAAAGATCAATTGTTTGGATAAAGTTGATATCATCTTTGTTTGGAAGTTGATATTCAAGCAATACAAACGGTGTGTACTGAGAAAAAGTGTGGTGAATAAAGTACCTTGCAAGGGGAAAACTTATTTAATTTTGTCATTGCAGCTGTATTTTGTTTTCTTTCTGACCAATTTTAACTTTGTCAGTGGGAATGCCTTAAGGTTACATGTTGGCTCTTTTAATATCTGGATGAATTAGCATTGGAGTAAATCAGTGTGAGATTACTTGATGTGTAGGTATGTTATTTCCTTTCTCAAGGAGCACGGAAAGGAGGTGTATGTTGAGGTTCGTGCAGCATATATTGACACAATGAACAAGGTAAATGCATGGGAATCATTTTAAAACTTCTAATTAAGATTTACATGCTTAAGAGTGAATTACATTTTTTCATGTCTCTGAGGAGCTGGGAGTGTTCATATTGTCTTTTATGAATGACCATAAAGTACTCCCTGCCAATTTCATAATGAATGTTGTAATATGTTATAGTTTTTCTATTTTAATGGAGGCACCTTATGCTGGGTTGGAGGCATGGGCAGACAATACAAATTTCAAGGGAAGATTAAAACTGTAGGAAACTTATGTTGAGACTGTTAATAGTCACATTCATTGCTGGGATGAGGTGTCAAGCCCTTGGATGTCCACTGAACTCTTCTTGATGAGGTGGCAACATGTAGACCTCTCCACTAGTTACTTCATTAATCTCTTAGTCCTTATATTAGGTTAGTTATTTATACAATTAGGAGGGGTCAATATGTCCCAACGTAATTAAGGCCATGTTTGGTTGGAGGTAGTAGTGTAACTTAGTGGCATACTATTCTAATGGGACTAGTCAAGTGTATGACTGGTGTCTCACTTGTCCAGTTCATTGCGAAGCCCTAGTCCCCCAGTCCTGGATAAAACTTGCACATGCAAGACTGGAACTCAAGTCCTGGCTTAGTGGGAATGGACATTGGGACTAGGTGGGTCAACAATGCATGGGGTATTACATTAGAGGATCTAGAGAGAGAATGAGAGTCTACAGCAGGAGAGCTTCAGAATTACGAATTGAATATAAACTTACCATTATCCAAGTGATAGTGAGTCCAGAGGGGGTTTAGTGGAGATCATTGAGAGGAATCGAATGAGAAGCTTTTCTTTGAAGATAGGTTTGGGGGTTGTCTTTTGGGCAATGTAAGCTTTGCAGCGGGTTTGGAGTTGGCCCAGCAATCGATTTTTCTTCAGCTAGTATAGTTGTAGTTCAGCAATTTTTTGTCTTCAGAAATTGAGCAACAAGAATGGTGTCTTTGTCGAGATGTCAAATGGGAGGCTGGAAAAAAAAAAACATAACATTATAATTCCGGCAGGGGTTGATGGTCAAGGGTGGACGGCAATGGCTAAGATGTTTGAAAGAATTATCCATGGAGATACCAAGGTTAAGGAGGATGAAAGAGAGATGAGGACTAAAGATGGAGGAGGAAAGCATCGAAGTGATCATGATTTATCAAGGAATTTCAGAGGAGACACACAAGTGAATCTGGCCAATCATCAGAAAACAGGGGCAAACAGGGGAGTTTCGTATGCAGATGTGCTCAAGTCTAAATCAGCTATCTTGGGAAGGTGTAGCTCTTTTCTTGAGTTGCGTAAGGTGGTGGTATGCACTAGAACTGATTTCTTCAATGAATGGGCACAGATTGAGAAAGAACTAAACAGTTCTTTTAAAGCTTCTATTGCTCTTAGGCCTTTTCAATTAAACCGAGCTCTGTTTTTTGCAAATAGCATTGAGTAGGCTGCTGACTATGGTGGTTAGGGATTGTGTTACTTTGATAAGGGCATTGCAGTGAAGTTGGAAAGTTGGTAAGATGAGTTGCACAGTAGGCCCAATGTCATTGCTTCAAGTGGAGGATGGGTCTCTGTTTGTGACTTGCCCTTCAATCTCTGGAATGACATGGCTTTTGAAAGGATTGGGAAGATGTGTGGTGGTCTAATTGATGTGGATTGTGGAACCAAGTCTTTTGGGAATCTCTTTGAGACGAGGTTGAAAGTCAGAGGTTTTGATAATGGGTTTTTACCAGCTACCATTGAGGATTTGCCGCCATTGTAAGAAGATGGGAGGACCGTAGGCAATGGAGTTTCTGACTAGATTTTTCAGTCGGTTCCAGCGCTGGAGAAAGGGGAGGTGAGGAGTCAGTTGGGCAGATAGAATGAGGTGAGAGACAACGGTGGGGGAAGAAGAGTAAGGGTCGAAGTGGGTAGTCAGATTGGTTTTTTTTAATTACGATGGGCCTAGACAAAGAGTGGGCTCAACCCATAACCTGGTTATTACAAATAATGATAATCAGCCTTGTGGATTAATCATTTGGGCCCAAATGATAATCTTATTCAAAAGGAAAGGGGTCTAGCACTCATTGAGGGCCCAAGTGGCCCAGCTTTTATTGAGGGCCCAAGGGACTTTATTCTTAATCCGATGGAGGATTCGGGGCTGGGTTTGGGTAGATCACCTGGTTCCAATCCTTTGGCCTCATGAATTAGAGATCTCGAGTTTGATGTTAAAGACGGGGTTCGAAGGAGCTATGCAAATGAGGAGAGGCGACGACTCCCATTTTGCGAAGCGACAGTGTCAATCAATCTCGCTCAAGGTTTTCCGACGCTTATTCATGATGCTCTCACTACGGAGGAAACACAGTTAGGGTTGGCAGATACTATGGATAGATTAGGTGGGGATTTTTAGGGATTAAATGTGATACCAGAGGTTGTGGATGACAAGTTTCTAGAAGTCAATAGTGCTTTGGAAAATCTGATTCATGATGTGGAAGAGGGTTGTTTTGAAGCTCATGAGGTGTTGCAAGCTCTGGAGGATTATGGAACATCTGAGAGCGCGGATTCACAATTGTGATTGAGGGGTTGCCCATTAAAATGGGGACCAATGCCTCTAAAATTTGAGAACACGTGGCTAGAGCATCAATCTTTTAAACGAAATTTTGAGGAATGGTGGTCTAATGCTAGTTGTCATGGATGGGAAGGTTTTAAAGTTATGAGAAAATTGAAGATGGTCAAGGAAAACGTGAAGTGCTGGAATAAGGAGGTTTTTGGGAATTTGGAGATTTCAAAAAAGGAGGTTGATGCGCAGAATCGAAGAAGTAGATGCCTTGGAGTTGCAGGGGGGTTTAGTTGAGTCATTAAGAAGTGAAAGGTTTGAGTTGAGATTGAAATTGGAAGAGTTGGTGTTTAGGGAGCAAATTTCTTGGGCTCAAAAGGCAAAGGTCAAATGGTTGAAGGAAGGGGATGTCAATTCAAATTTTTTTTCACAAGGTTGTAGATATAAAAAGAAAGAAGAAGTTTATAAACAAATTAGAAGTGAGCCAGGGGTAGTTGAGGAGAGGGAGAATCATATTGTTAGTGGAATTTATGACTTTTATTCTAAGTTTTATTTGAAGGAGGGGATGAATAGACCGGGGGTTGTAGGACTTGAATGGGGACCTGTTGATCAGGCAATTGCAGTGTGGCCTGAAAGGCGATTTGACGAAATGGAAATCCGAGAGGCAATCTGTTAAAATTGATGTATAAAAAGAAATAGAGAATTGTATTATTGATTGATTTTTTGTTATGTTTACAATGATTCCTATATATAGGAGAGGGTGAGTGTGTAGTAGGTGAGGAGTAAGTGAGGAGTAGGTGGAGAGTAGGTGAAGTGGGTGGAGTAGGTGTAGTGGTAGGTTTTGGTACATTTTAACACAATCTTTGATCGTGAAAGGGACAAAGCTCCAGGTTTGGATGGCTTCTCCATGGCCGTTTTTCAGGACGGTTGAGAGGTAGTGAAAAGGGATTTGTTGAGAGTTTTTTTGAAATTTCATGAGTTAGGGGTTGTTAATTTGAGCTCAAATGCTACATTCATCTGTTTAATCCCTAAGAAAGTGAATGCAGTAAGAATTGGAGATTTTAGACCCATCGGCTTGGTTACATCACTTTATAAGATTTTGGGAAAGGTTTTATCGAAACGGCTAAGGACATCTTTGGGGGAGATTGTGTCTATGGCGCAAGGGGCTTTCGTGAAAGGAAGACAAATTTTAGATGTAGCCTTAGTGGCAAATGAGGTGGTGGAGGAATATAGAAGTCTAGGAAATGAGGTACTTATTTTCAAGGTGGATTTTGAGAAAGCATATGACCACGTGGATTTACAGTTTTTGGATTTTGTAATAGGCAGGTAGGGTTACAGTGAGCCGTGGCGATCTTGGATTAAGGGATGTTTGTCGACATGTAATATGTCAGTTATAGTTAATGGCAAACCAGGGTAATGTTTTTTGGCTTTGTGAGGGATACGACGAGGGGATCTAGTATCCCCGTTTCTTTTTTATTTTGGTGGCTGATGTGTTGGGAAGCATGGTTGATAGAGCTAGAGAAGTAGGTCTTTTTACAAGAATAGAGGTTGGGAGGGATAGAGTGCGACACATTTGCAACATGCAGATGATACCATATTTTTCTCTTCAGGGGAGGAAAGACAGATTGTTAATCTTTATTCGATTTTGAGACTTCTTGGGATAATTTCAAGGCTTAAGGTCAATTTGGAGAAAAGTAGTGTGGTTGGCATTAATATGCAGCAAGACCAGCTTTAGAATAGGGTGGCACTTTTAAGATGTGGTATCGAGACATTTTCATTCAAGTATTTGGGTCTTCCATTGGGAGGTAATCCTAGATGTGAATCTTTTTGAAATCTAGAAGGGGAAAAGATTGGTAAGAGGTTGGAAAGGTGGAGTAAGTCTTTACTGTTACATGGGGGTAGATATACCTTGGTTAAGACTGTTTTGAGTGGTATTCTTATTTATTTCTTATCTTTGTTCAAGATTCTAGTGAAGGTGGCATGGTCATTAGAAAAGTTGATGATGGGTTTTCTTTAGGAAGGCAAGGATGAGGGGAAGAAGGATCACTTGGTTAATTGGGATTTAGTTTCGTTGCCTAAGGAGAAGGGGAGTTTGGCTATTGGTAACATTGTGGCTAGGAACATTGCTCTTCTTGGCAAATGGTTATGGAGATTTCCAATTGAGAGTGATTCACTATGGCATTCAATTATTAGAAGCAATTATGGGACTCATGACAATGGTAAGGATTCATAGGTGGATCTGAGTTGGAAATCAATTTATCAAATCTACACATTTTGGTCTTGTTATCTTTCTGTAAGGGTGGGCAATGGGGAACTCGTTCAATTTTGGGAGGATGTTTGGACGGGTCAATTTTCTTTTGTTTCAGATTTTCCATATCTTTATAGAGTGGCTTGGTCTCATAATTCTTCTATTACTTCCATGGCTTGCCTCACTTTTGGCTCAAATATCTTGGAATTTTGATTTTTCTAGGAATCTTAATGACAGGGACGCTTAACAGCTGACTACTTTGTTGCCCAGAATTGATCGTTTTTCTTTAGCTCCTCTTTTGGAGGGTAAGAGGGTTTGGGCTCCACGCATCCGGTATATTTTCTTATAAGTCTTTTTTTGATAAAATTATCAATAATCCTCATGTTCCTTAGTTTTTTTTTTTTTTTGCAAAAGAATTTGGAAGGCTTGTGTTCCTCTAAATGCGAAGGCGTTCATGTGGGCCTTGGTTCATAAAGGCATCCTGACAAATGATACAATCAGATACATTGCAGAAATGGAGGCCTAAATGTTTTTTGAATCTTCAGTGGTGCATTTTGTGTTGTAAGAATGGGGAATCCTTGGATCAATTATTTTTGCATTGCTCAATTGCTTTGAATTTATGGCACAAATTGTTTCTTTGGAGGAATGTTATGTGGGTGGCACCAAAAGGTAGTGCGCATATGCTCCTTGTTGATTTTTGCGCTTTCGGAGGATTGAAGAGAGCCAAAGTGCTATGATCTTGTGCTATCTTTGCAACTTTTTAGGTTCTATGGTTGGAAAGAAATGCTTGGTTCGAAGATAAATTTCGGGAAGTGAACTATTTGTGGGATAAAGTTTGTCACTTAACTTCTTTTTGGGCTTCGAGGTGACTTAAGTGGAGGAGTGCGTCTGGAGTACTGTGCGATAAACGAGTACCCATTAGACTAAAAGGGAAGTTCTATGGAACAAATATTAGACCAGCAATGTTGTATGGGACAGAATGTTGGGCAACTAAGAAATAACATGTAGATAAGATGAGTATTGCCGAGATGAGAATACTAAGGTGGATGTGTGGCAAGACTAGAAAAGACAGAGTCAAGAATGAGTATATTCGAGAATGGGTAGGAGTAGTATCGATAGAAGACAAGTTGAGAGAGAATAAATTGAGATGGTTTGGTTATATACAACAGAGACTAACAGAGGCAGTGGTGAAGCGATGTGATACAGTGATGGTAAATGGTAATGTTAGGGGAAGGGATAGACCTAGATTGACGTGGACTAGTATAGTAAATAGAGATATGAATCTCCTTAATTTGACTAACGAAATGGCCTTAGAGTCGAGTGGAGAAGAAAGATTCATGTAGCCGACCGTATTTGATGGGACTTAAGGCTTGGTTTGGTTTAGTTATGTTCCTTGTATTTCATTTTCCTTTTGTAAGAGGATGCCTTATCCTCACTCCCTTTTTTGATTTACCAACAAAATCTTTTGTTATTGATCAAAAAAAAAAAAAAAAAAAAAAAAAAAAAAAAAAAAAATTACATTAGAGGATCTGGTTAGAGGAAATTATGCCATCATTTGTTCTAATTTACTACTTGTTTTATCTGCAGGTTTTAAGTGCACATTTACGTGCTTATATTCAAGCACTGGAGAAATTGCAATTGGATATAGTAACATCTAGTGATATGATAGGTGTTGAAGCCAGAAGTACAGGTTTTTTTTCAAGAGGAAGAGAATCTCTGAAGAACCGGTCTGCTGTTTTTGCTCTGGGAGAGAGGATAAACATCCTAAAGGTTTTATACTGCTGCTAATGATATATATTTTTGTTATGTTTCTGAAAACATTTTTACAATGTAGACTCCAGTATTTTCTGGCTACCAATTCTCTTTTGATTGCTTTCAGTTTTTCCTTCTCCCAGTAACATTTTATTTTTCTTTGAAAGCAAATAAAGGAAAATCTTTTAAAGCAGAGATTATGATGAAAAACATAGATGGAAATACCAAAATTGTAGATATCTGTTCATCCATATATTTATGAACCACCCTTATAGTTCACAAGGCAATTTTTATATAGGTTCCATCCTTCGATTATGTGTACCAAGGAACAAAATTTCATTTCGTTTTCATCAAGTCGAAAAGTTTCTGTTTTCCTGGAAACCAACCCAACACATTAGTGAAATACCCAAATTTCAATATTTCTACCGAACTCACCAAAACAGTGAATTGTTTTGAGGCCTTGTAGGGTACATCCATTTGCTTCTTTATATTTGAAAAAATATTTGCGAACAAAAGAAAATCATAGATTTGTAGAGAACCCGCAAACATAGAGAGGAGAAGAGAAAAAGGAGATGATTAAGCCACTAATTCTCTTTAATTGTTATTATAAATACCATTTTTTGTAAAAATTTTCACTGGTATTTTTTCCTCTTATCCCTACCACTGGAAACTTGCATTGCTTAGGTTCTCTTTGACTGGTAAACCTCATTCCTCAAGTAACCCTTTATAGTTTTTATTTAAGAGCTTCTAGTTTCATTGACCTTATTGAACCTAATTTCCCAATGGACCTTCAACACCTTGGAAACCTTTTTGTTTATTGTTAATCTCCAAATGTTATTATTTTGGGTAAATTATGCAAATAGTCCTTGTAGTTTACCTGTTTTTTCATTTTGGTCCCCGTTGTTTCAATTTGATCAATTTTGCCCTTTAATTTTACGGATTGTGTCATATTAGTCCAATAAATAATGACGGTTAAGTTTGATGGACGGAAAATCAAATGATGTTTCAATTTGGTCCCTGTAGTTTATAGAATGTGTCAATTTGGTTCCTAGGAAAATCAAAACAACAGGGACTAAATTGACACATCTTGTAAACTATATGGGCCGAATTGAAACATCATATGTTTATCCGTCCATCAAACTTAACAGCCGTTATTTATTGGACTAATATGACACAATCCGTAAAATTAAGGGGCAAAATTGAGCAAATTGAAATAATAGGGACCAAAATGAAAAAAAATAAATTGCAGGGACTACTGCTGTAATTTGTCCTATTATTTTTTTCCCGATAATTTTGTAAAACCTTCTATAGTTGGAACCATATGCACATTTAGCATTAATTTAACAATTATTGGTTTTGAAGTTACTTCTGCATTGCATACTTATGCCCCTTACGTAAAGAAATGTGTAGAGCTCAACATGTTCAATTATTTAATTAATAAGCTTGGATACTTATATGTACGTTTTACTTTTTGTTTCCAAACATTTCCAAAGTTTTTTATCGTTTCCCTTATGTTTCCAAAATGTTTCTGTTGCGAAGCTTACTGAAACAACATTGTGATACAAATTATTGATCTTTGCTTGTTACCAAACTACTGACATGTGATTTGTTAAATAATAATAAAAAAGATCTCCATTATAACTATGATTTGGAAGTTTGGACAGCTGCATTGTACTAAGAAAATTTCATGTATTTTATTATATTTTTTTATAGAGAAATTGGCTTCAATATTGAATATTTACTATATCAGGAAATTGATGAACCTGCATTGATTCCGCATATAGCTGAAGCTAGCTCCCACAAGTATCCTTATGAAGTCCTATTTAGGAGCTTGCACAAGCTGCTTATGGATACTGCTAGTTCTGAGTACATTTGTTTTCTTTGTCCCTCATATTGTATTTAAATTCTAGTCAATACTGAATTCACTGTATCAGTGATTTAATACACCAAATATATGCATATTGACCTTTTGCTTTTCTCATTATACAGGTATCTTTTTTGTGACGATTTCTTTGGGGAAGAATCCGTTTTTCATGAAATATTTGCAGGTACTGGTATATGCTATTAGCCATTTTCATTGATTGTATACAAAACTTGAAATATTCCCTAATAGCATTTCCTACAAATTTTGAGCAGCTGGCTTTCTGTGAGATGGATCTTGTTGCTTACAAATTGTCACATTCTCTACTTGAAATCTTCTTCTATACATCATGAGAAACCATTGCTAGATATGGAGAGCTTTCATCATCTTCATAGTTCTTGAATTTCAAGTCATTTTGCAATGACAATAGCAAACTTCCATTACCTTGATGAAATTTGGAACGATAAAATGTTTTTCTTATCAAAGAACAATGCTTTGGATATAATTATTGTATTTGCAGGCTAAGAATCACAAACACTTCTACGGTGAAGGCATGTCGTGTTGGACACCGACACTATGCAGAAGCTTCTAAAAGCGTGTCTGGCACTTCTTCAATGTGCCTTAATTAAAATTTTAAATTCATAATATTAGACACTTAGCGGACACTTAACTACACTTCTTGAACCCTCTGAACAGGATCTATGTGATGAATCTCTTTATAGTAACAATGTTTTAATGCAACTTTTGCACTTTAAATATGTTTTAAAACATTTATGATATGATTATATCACATGTATTTTATGTTCGGCAATTGTTTTGCATTATTGAGAATAAAATTATCACGTGAATGATTTCTTGATCTATATGGCTTTTAATTTTAGTTACTGTTTTGCTATTTTTTTTTTCCCCCCTTTTCCAATTACCTTTGAATAAACTATTCACATATTTGACATATAGGGGCTATTTAGCATGCACTATATAAGTGCACTTATTTGGGTCACATCACCTTTTTACTTTTCTGCACATCTTTTCGTAAAAAGTAAAAAAATATACTCATTTAGATCATCCCAAATACCCCCATAATAAGTTTATAAAAATATAAAATTTTAATGTGTCCAAAGCATATTGTGTCTTGCATTTGTTGAAAATTATCATGTTGGCTTGGTTGTGCTACTTAGGTTGTAGAAAATATTTGGATGCATGATTATAGCTTGACATACGCTTTAACTTTGGTGTTGTCAAGGTCCAATTGCAGTAATTGATGAACACTTTAATTCAATCCTTCCAAATTGTTTTGATGCAATTGGTCTGATGCTTATGATTCGCATTATACACCATCATCAGGTAATTTTCTACATTTTGGTATTACTCTTTCAAGTTCCCTTAATATGTGTAGTTTTTCTCCATTAAATGCTGTATGAAGAGTGCTCGAATCATATGTACGTATGTGTATACACCTCTTCACCATGCATTAGCTCCAGAATTTCGCTTTGAAAGCTATATAATGTATTAAGAAATAGTGTGAAGAAATTGATATTGGATGTTTCATAATGATAGATGTATCTCTAGTTCCATTCATGATGAAGTATTTCCTTTTATCAGTTCCATGTAATTTCATCATCTTAGGTTTGTTTATTGTAAATATGGATAGAAATAGACCAGAGCTAGTGTTCTTGAAATGTCAAGTTATGCTCAATAATAATTAATTGATAAGACAATTCAATTTGAGTGGACTAATGGGTCTACATGGCTATTTGTTAGCTTTGTCATGCCGATAAAAAAAGGGCAACCTAAGCAGGATCAATGGAGGGCAAGATTTATGCAACCTTATTGCCCCCCTTTTTTGAGAGGCTATTTTCGTCTCCTGAACTCACATCAACAGGGACACTAATGAAAATCTTCATTGGGCTAAGCTGCCCTTTCCACTTTGTCATGTCAATGCAGGACAACATTTTTGAAACTGCCTTGAACAGGATTTCTGGCAGATTTAGGTGAACAAAATATTATTGGGCTATGTACTCATTTGTTGGAGAAAGTTTCTAGGGTTTGTAGACATTAAGATGAGAGATTTGGCTTGATGTTCAAATGGATATGTTGTTCTTCTTCACCTTTATGATAAACTTTAGTTGGTATCTGTTAAAACCTACCACTACCACTACCACCTACTACACCTACTCCACCCACTTCACCTACTCCACCCACTTCATCTACATCTCCTATATAAGGAGCCCCTCATATTTGTAATTTACACAAGATACATCAATCAATAAACATACAACAATCAATAATACAATCATTTCTCTTTATACATTAAATTACTACATGGTATCAGAGCAGGTTTAGAACCTACTATTTTTGCTTCCCCGGCGGGCGGCAACCTCACCTTAGCCGTCCGCCGGACCTCAACCTAGTCCGCCAGACCTCTAAACATACCTTCACTCCGCTGCCACATTTCTTGCTACAGTGTCTCCTATCCTCTTTTCTTTTATGTATGCAGTCTATTTTCTTGTTTTGTCTCTCTCTCCAAACTCAAGTTGGTTAGTTCCTATCCCCCTTGAGTTTGCGGGGGGCTGTTAAAACCTACCACTATCACTACCACCTACTACACCTACTCCACCCACTTCACCTACTCCACTTCACCTACTCCACCCACTTCATCTACATCTCCTATATAAGGAGCCCCTCATACTAGGGTTTGTAGACATTAAGATGAGAGATTTGGCTTGATGTTCAAATGGATATGTTGTTCTTCTTCACCTTTATGATAAACCTTAGTTGGTATCATAGCAATAAGTCGACTGTGATCGTCACATAGGGAGGATCTCATCGCCATTCTCGACCTAAATAAAGTACCACCATGGTCGACTAGGTGCGGGGTTGCTACTTCTAAATTCTTAAATTTTTTCAAGTTATTGGATCCATTTTCTATTTTCCGTTGATTTTTGGAAAAAAAAAAAAGGGGCCTATATTATGAATTCTGGATTTCATTCCTTGTTTGGAGCATTTTTCTATTCTATAGGAAAGTGAAGGTGCCAACTAGCCTATTGGGGCTATTACCCAAGTTCTTTTTTTTGGTGCGCTCGCGTGTGTGCTAATTTTGTTTGGTTCTTTGTTCAAGAAGTGTTTAGAAATCAGTTTTTGTGTCATTTCAACCTTGTTTTCCAATTTTCTAAAATGATTTGGTTATATTAAATTGTATTTCTGTTAGGCATTTGTTGGCTCTTTCCTTTTGGGTTGATCCAGTGTTATACCATGGCTCTGATTGAGTAGAAACCAGATATTTGTGTTGGTTGTTCGCTATTCCTAGTTTGTGGATATATCGGAGGCTAGTAAGCTTCTATTAGCAGTGAGGAAAGTTAGTTCAGTTGGTTAAGGATTCTTGCTACTGGTATTCTTTAATGCAAAATCTTTTGGTCTGACTTGATACTGCAAGAGATCTGGTTAATCGAGCTGGCCTTGTCTTTGATCTCCACATTATCTCTATTTTGGTCTCACGTTTGGATCTGCTCCCAATTTTGCTGCTCTCTAATATTTGTGTTGGTTGTTTGCTATTCCTAGTTTGTGGATGTATCAGAGGCTGGTAAGCTTCTACTAGCAGTGAGGAAAGTTAGTTGAGTTGGTTAAGGACTCTTGCTACTGGTACTCTTTAATGAAAAATCTTCTGGTCTGACTTGATACTGCAACACATCTGGTTAATCGAGCTGGCCTTGTCTTTGATCACCACATTACCTCTATTTTGGTCTCACGTTTGTATCTGCTCCCAATTTTTCTGCTCTAATCTGTGATTGTTAGAAATGCAATATATCGTGTGAGAATAAATTTTTAGAAATTAAAACAATATATTTCAAGTATCATTGATTGTACCACTTTATGATTGATAATTGTTTTAAAATTTGTTTCCACATATTCAGTGATAGAGATCAATCATGCACATAGGAGACAAATGATTTATAGTGGGAAAACCTTCGTCCTCGAAGGTAAATTCCACTAACATTTCCACTTGTAAAACATATCAAGAACTAGTTACAAGACCTAGACCAAGATCTTAAATGCTTAAAACCCAGAGCAGTTCCGTCGTCCCAGGCTCTCAGTCTATTCTATCTCCTTGATCTTCAACAATTTGCTCTCCCTCACATGCCGTGAACCCACAATCAAGATCAAGCTGCAGCCTTCTAGATCCATTATCCATAGATGCCCGATGTGTGCTCTCCAACAATGATTGTGTGTGCTTTAATATGATCGTTACTCTAGAGACTTCGAAATACCAAGGATATTCTCTCTAACAATCCACTATACATAGTAGTTGAAGGACAACTATGTATAGCTCTCAAGAATAACCTAAACCGTCCACAAGCTAGTTCAGATTTCTTGAAAGACAATATGTGCTCAAACAGTGACATCATTGGAGTCAAGTTCCGCCTTATATCAAGTAAGCTTTGCATTTGAAAGAACAGATGCTTTTCACTCTCCAAGAATTACGACAGAAAATCCATCCTTGTTCGATTGGGAGGCAATTCGTTCAGATGTGCACGCTACTGTTTCTGTACAAAATTGAAGCCCGAAAGGTGTCCTAAAGACACATACCATTAATTAACTTGCTCTATTACAAAACTAAATTAACTATGGTAAAAGACAACCCAAATAATACCCAATATAAGCGTGTGAATGCACATGTATGAGCTTATTTACTAACACTGCATATCGTATGGCACCGACAGAAGAATGCTGTCATTTTGATGAAACAACTCCTGTTTCAAAAATACCCTTTGTGAAGCCTGTATCGTCTGTATCAAATGTCTTTTGTAAGAAATTTTAGGATTGCCGTGGACTTTGAAATATGAATGCCAAAGTATAAATTGAAATTGATCTCCCTTCGAACTGAACTTCTAGGCTTTCCCTTCGAAGATGATGTGAAATTAAATTGAATTATTGACTGAGAATGCCCAAATGATTGAACTTCCATTTAGCTTAACATTGTTGCTCTGTTCATATTTCTTGGTCAAAATCAAATTCCATAATATTCACAAACATATGCTTACAGCTTCTTCCTATAGTTGTTTGAAATCCAAAGCAAGTACTAATCAAGGATTCTGATACTCCAAAAGTTATTTCCATCTGTTTGTGTGTGTTGGCCTCTGCCTATTTATATGTCAATTTGTGATGATTTATAGTTGGTTAGGATTTGAAATTTGATGAAAGTAGCTATGTAAGACTTTTTGTCACTCACATTCTTTTGCTTTCCAGCTCATTATGTCGCGAAGGCGGGTTCCATGCTTGGATTCATATTTAGATAAGGTAATTATCTTTGATTTAGTTTGTCATGTAATTATTTTAGTTCTGCATGATGAAGTTGCTTGTTCTCTCATACTCTCTTTCTCATTTTTGTACTTATCCTGTGGTTTCTGCAATTGGCCTTTTTTTTTTTTTTATATTTTATTTATTGAAACACTTAATTTTTGAAATAAAAATAAATTGCACAGTAACTTGTCTATTTAGTGGTGTGTTCCAGACTTGTATATTGGTATCAACGTTGGCTAGGGCACTGTGTTATGTACTTAGGTTCATGGAGGTATGTCCTCCTTTTGGTCATGGACTAGTGATAGCACCTTCCAAACCTTTTTCTGGTTGAGGTTGGTATTAGGCAGCATTTCTACTGCCTGAGGATATGCATTTCTTATTTGTACATTATTTCTGTTTGTTTATTATACTTTAAAAAGGCAGAAAAGAAGAAAAGGTGTAGAATCATTGTAGTCAATTTTAGGGGAAAGGGATGAGGTGTGACTTAGGTAATGGTTATTTTTTGCACCAGCTTTTACTCACAACTGCAAGTGCCAATATAACTAGTCAAATTGAGCGTTAGCTTATGATGCCATTGGGAATATTGATTGCATGTAGAAATTATTGAGATCTATAATTAAATGATATTATCCCACAAACAGGATTAATCTGATGATACTTTTATGAACATACGATATCAATAGTGGAATTTTGCTGAATGGGTTCACCCATAATTAGAAAGTTCCCTGGATTATGCTTTTGCTGAATTTCTTTGAATGAAATATCAGCCGTCTTTTGTTGTAAACCCAATATTTGTGAGAAGTCATAATTATTTCTGATTTTGTTTACCTTGACAATGGAATGATCTCAATTTAGATCAATGGAAATATTCTCTAATGAATCTGTGCAGGTCAACATTGCTTTATGGCCTCGTTTCAAAATGGTATTTGACATGCACCTGAGCAGCTTGCGTAATGCAAATGTCAAGACATTATGGGAAGATGATGTCCATCCTCACTATGTGGTGAGGCGCTATGCTGAGTTTACTGCCTCACTTATTCATCTTAATGTTGAATATGGAGATGGTCAGGTTAGACATACTTCCGAGTACTAAAATTTTTTCTTTATTAAATTGTGATCACAATGATTACTTTAATATTCTGCCTTCTAATATTTCCAGCTTGAACTGAACTTGGAAAGACTGAGAATGGCTGCTGATGACTTGCTTGTCAAGCTTGCGAAAATGTTTCCAAAGCCAAAGCTACAGACTGTTTTCCTAATAAACAATTATGATATGACAATTACTGTATTGAAGGTAACTGTCATGTATCTGTTTTGTCTTAAATTAAGGAAGCATCAATTAAAGGTGGATAAATAGTTTGTCTCAGATACAATGTCCTTTGTGATGTAATGCGTAACTGATTAACTAAGATGCTAAAAAATGGGTTAATCCCTATGGAGTTCTGGCAGATTCAAATATTGATGGTTTGATTTGCAGGAAGCTTGTCCGGAAGGTGGGAAGATTCAACTGCACTTTGAGGAACTGCTGAAGAACCACACAGCAGTTTTTGTGGTAAGCAACCATTAACCTAAGAAGCACGGACATGGACATGTGACACAACACTACATGACACTGGCACACCGACACACAAATTTTTCAAAAAATGTATGACGGGACGTGGTGGATGTGCAAAATTTATAATTTTATGTATTTGTTACATGGCTTATATAAGGAAAACAATTATTATGTCATATATATGAATACTTAATTATAAACTCTAGAGAAGGAAAATATGTGTAAATCTAAGTTAGTTTTCTTCTATAATTGGATTCTAAATTATTTTATTCAAATTCGTAAGGTGTTTTATGTTTGTGAATGCGATAAGCACGTGTTCCCAAGTGTTTGAAGCATGTCCAAGTCTATAATTTTTTAATAAATTGGACATGTTTGTATGTATGTCGGAACAGGTCTTGGGAACTGTCCGATGAGTGACATGTTGTGTCGGTGTCGGACATGACACCGCCACCTTCTTAGAAGGTGTTTCTTAGCCGCTAACCAATGTCCTTAAAGGCTTGCTTACATACATAAAGCAAATTGTTGAAGTCAAGTCAGAGAAACTGGGTTTCCCTGATGGAATCACTCCCGGAATACTGACTGCACTTTTGTTGTATCTAATGACGTAAAACCATCTTCTTTTGACTTACGTGATTTCAGTTACGAGATTTTAATTTATTTGAGCAGCGTCCTCTAACCAGAAATGTTTTGTACTAGTGGCCACAGGTGGGGAGGGAGGGGCTGGCCCCTCTTAGCTTGAGCAAAAGTTTCTACATACATGTAGTAGGCAGTTTAGAAGTTTAATTGTACTTGGCCCCTCCCAATTTTTTTTGTATGTTCATTTATGACCATTGGTTCAATGGTAAAACTTTGGCCTAATAACCTTGAGGTTATGGGTTCAAGTCTCGGGGCAACCACTTTGTGCACTATGTCAAAGGTTAGGTGTGTACTCAATCTTTTCCCTCTCAAACACACGTTAATGTGTACTATTTGAGCGTTGTTTTTTTTATTATTCATGTACTATATTTAAATTCACAAGGCCCCTTGAAATGTATTTTTTCCTTAAAACAATTAATTAATTCTCATTCCTTTCCCTCTTTCTTATTCAGTCAACAAACAACCCTTTTCTTCTTTTCATTCTGATTTGACTTCCATTTTTTCTCTGTTCTCTATTTATTTTTTCAGTCTTAACTTAAGGAAAAATCCATGGTACACACTCTTTTAAAGTTACGATTTTTTGTGGTGTTAGCAACGATTCATCGTGGTTATGTTTGAAGGGGTGCACCATAAGAAAAACTTAGTTGCGAATCATTGTGGTTATGTTATGACTATTAAAATTTTATGAACTACTATGGTGAGAAAAGTTACGAGCCATTGTAGTTTTGTTACAAATCATTATGTAGTTACGAAACACGCTTTAAGGGTGAGTATTTCTTCCCTTCGCTCAACTATTTCTTTCTTTGACTTATTAGTATGAGAGTTCACAAGTCTGTGTACCCTGCAATCTTTAATTTATTACCATTCATATACTAGATAAATATGTGATACTACTTCTACTTTACATATTTTTAATGGTGAGCCATTCAAATTTAAGGTCTTGGAACACATTTAGGGTGTTCTCATTATTTATTAATTTATTTTTAGTAATGATTTGTTGATTTTATTAATTATATTATTTAAACTATTTAAATCTGTCCTAACCCAACCGCTTAAACTTGTTCAATACTTTGATTTTGGCCCCCCAATCATAGATTCCTGGCTCTGTCCCTGCTGGTGGCAGCATGTGGTTTTCATGGCTAATTCAATTTGGATTCATATATATAAAACCTAATGGATATGCAAAGTGGTAAAACAATCAAATGCCTAAGTTGGCCAAGTTATATTATGAGGCTAAGATGATCTACAGTGTTCGACATCTAGTTTCTTAAAGTTTATGAATGTTAGGCATATAGTTTGTTGTAGGTAGTGAGTCGATTTCCATGACCATTAAACGAAATGTCCTTGATGACGGGTACTTGTCAGTTCTGATTTATAGTCGTTGAATGTGAGATGTCAGTGGATGTTTTGGGATTTTCAATCAATTAGTCATTGATTTTGCCTTCATTCCTTACAGGAAGAATTACTGGTGGAGCATTTCAGCGATCTAATCAAGTTTGTGAAGACCAGAGCCTGTAAGTGTATTAAACATCACTATGGCATCTTAATATTCTGTATTTTTTAGAGAAGGGGGACTTATTTTCTAAGTTGTTATCAGTCGAGGACCCAACCTCTGGCTCGGAGAGGCCAATAAATAGTACTGTTTCAGAGGTCGAGCCACTCGTAAAGGACTTTGCGAGTAGATGGAAAGGTGCTATAGAGTTGATGCACAATGATGTGATTACTTCTTTCAGCAACTTCTTGTGTGGTATGGAGATATTAAGAGCTGCGTTGACGCAACTGCTGCTTTATTACACAAGACTCTCAGATTGCATAAAGAGGATTGTTGGTGGGTCTACGCTAAATAAAGATCTCGTTTCCATATCTTCAATAATGTATGAAATTAGGAAATACTCCAGGACTTTTTAGATCCTTGATTTTGTTACTCCTAATTTGTTTGTAAGAAAAGGTAATTTAAAAAGGAAATGTCAGTGCAGTTTTTTTTTTTAATAATTATTTTGGTGTTTTCACAATACTTAAGAAGTTGGACTTTGTTGATACTTCATTTCGAATGTTTAATAATATGGTGTTAGTACCTTATTTCTTAATAAATTTGTTATTTTTTATTTATAAATTTGTATAATTGTGTGAGTATATATACACACATGTATTCAGTAGGCATAATTTGGTTTTGGGACTAGAGCAATGGACACCTATATTTGGGAGGGGGTTCTTCTTGTGCATTCCCTGCGACAGATAGCAAGTTTAGGAGGCTTTTCTCAAATTAAGCTAAAATAGCAACTTATTTTTCAAACTAGGCCTAGTTTGAACGGAAATTTCAAATTAGGCTAAAGCATTATTACAAATCACGCTTTCACTGTTTCTAGGATCCTCCTGTGGAAAATTTGTGAAATAGTAAAAGCGTGGTTATAAACCACGTTTTTAATTAAGAAAGCGTGGTTTGTAACCACGCTTTTAAGGAAATTTCATTTATACATAAAACGTGATTAGAAAGCACGCTTTTAAGCAAAATTTATTTTCTTCAGAAAATGTGGTTTCAAACCACACTTTTACTGTGTTTATAATTAAATTTTGTTTTCTGAAGAAAACGTGGTTCAAAACCACGCTTTCACTGTGCATATTTGTTTTCTTAAGAAAACGTGATTCACAATCACGCTTGTGCTGTTGAAAACAACAATGTAAAATCCGTTGTTAAATGAAAGCGTGGTTCGTAACCATGCTTTTACAACTTATATAAAACCCCCCAAGCCCCCTCATTTGTAATCACGTTTTTTACACTTACGTTTTTTTCGACTCTCGCTCTCAGACTCTCGCTCTCGCTCTCCCCTCTGCTCTGCTCTCAGACTCTTGCTCTCGCTCTCCCTCTGCTCTCAGACTCTTTCTCTGCTCTCATTCTCTCTTTCTGCTCTCTCTCCGTCCGTGGGCTGCTCTCTCTCGCTGGTATGACATTTGTCTCATTTGAATTTTATGTGTTTATTGTGTTTGTGAAAATGTGAATGTGTGGTTTTGAATTGGTAAAATGTTGTGGTTTTGAATTGTGAAAATTTTCTAGGGTTTTCAATTGAATGGGGAATCATAAATTAGGATTAGGGTTTTGAATTGTGAAATCAGAAATTAAGGTTAGGGTTTCAGAAATTAGGTTTTTGAATTTTGAATCGTGTCTATATTTTTTGCATTGTGAATTGTGAATCCTGTCTATATTTTTTAAAATTAGGGTTTGAAATTTTGAATTGTGAATAAACCAACCTATATTTGTTGAATTGGAAATTTTATTTTTTGCTTGTTAATAAAAGGAATTTTTTTTAATTAAGAATAAAATTATGAGAATTGAAATTCATATAATTGAGAATTGGTAATGTCATCTTATGAAATTCATATAATTGAGAATTGAGAATTGAAATTCATATTATGAAATTCATATAACCGCTGATACTTCTAGTTTATGAGAATTGGTAATTGAAATATATTTTTAATATCATTAAAAATTATTATTTGCCTTAATGATTTATTAAGACAAAAATTTATTATAAATGGAATAATCATTTATTATTATAAGGGAATAATGATTCTAGATGGGAGACTAAAAAATGACCATTTTTGTGTCATTCTATCTCATTTCAATGACTAAATAAAACAAAAGGTATAAAATGACAAATTAAGTAATCAATCTTAGAGTTTGATACATTCTTATACATATTATAATTGTTGTTTTAGATGTATTTTATAAATTATATATTTCTATTCGTAAATCAAAACATATCTGATAAATTACACTCACATCTCTGAAGATAATATCTTACAAATTTAACATAATCACACCGACCTCTTTAGACCGGGTTGAGTTCCACACGAACTTTCTCTGTTTTTTCATTCTAGTGACAACTCATACCTTGTTCATATATGTGGGATTGTCATGCTGAGGCATTTATTTTCTATGATTTTTTCCTTCTGTGTCTTTCTAAAACCGTTCATAACTAACTATATAAATGACTAAAGGTGAAGACACAACCTTACAACTCATTTCGCCCTACGAAATTATCATTCATTTGTTTAAAAAAATTAGCATGGCTACACGATTCATGGGAGGGAGAGCGAATCGCAGAGGTGGTAGGAACTTGAAAAGGGGTGACAATTCACGACGAGGAGGGGGAAGGGGACGTGGTGATGCTGAAGATGAAACAACAATACCTGTGTTAGATTATGCTTGTGGTTATCGTGATAGGTTTGGGAAGCGATATTTTTTGATGCCCAAGTATTATCGAGTTCAAGGAGGTTCATGTATGGAGCCATCTGACAATCAAACAGGATATGGTTTATCTGACGCTGCTCGTCTGAAGTGGCCCGCACTATTTATAGAGCGGGTACAGCTAGAAACCTTAAGTCAGGAAACTCAACTTAAGGTGCCAAAAGCACGTTCTGTTGAGATCCAAAAGGAAGATTTTGATAATGTTGATCGACTATGTGAAAGACCACGATGTGAGATTTCTCAAATGCGCCGTAGGTTAGCTTGCGATATGCAACTATACATAGTTAAGAAGGATGCCCAGAAGAACAAAACAGAACCAAATGTTGTGGCTATCAAGGGTATCATGGAGGATCCTGAACTTGTCTCTGACCCTGAGCTTTCGGATTATTCAGACTCTGAAATTCCGGATTTAAGCGCGAATTAGGCGTTTATGTCTATACTTCGGCAATATTAGGTCATGCATTAATATGTAATGTGTGTGTTAGACTAAGTGTTTTCGTAATGAGTTTGTCAGATTGTCTACCTAATATTTGTCTATCTAACTGTTATGTTTATGTATTGTGTGTTCAGTTCAGGGTGTCCACGATGTATGTATTGTGTGTTCAGTTCATGGTGTCCAAAATGTATTTTTGTGGGAGACTTATGTCTGTACTACCTATGTAACTGAAAACTGTTACATTTGCAACTTCAGTTATGTTATTTTCATGCCCGTATGAGTATTTAGTAAATTAGTGACTTCGTATATTATGTATTAAGTTTTATTACAAAAATGTTTGACAAAATTTATTTTAGGGGAATATACATTCTCTTAACTTGTTCATCTTCTCAATCGTGACAATCCAAAAATGTAACCATTATTCATTGAATATAACAAATAACGTTCTCATTCTTACAAAAAATATACTACCAATTGAATAAAACAAATAACCTTTCCATTCATTCATTCATTCATTGCACAACATCAGTCTTATGAAATAAGCGAAACCAATTGAATCATAATAACATCAACTCCAACCCAATATTTATATTACATAAGTTCCTGTTCGTAATCAGACACCAAATTACATACAAGTTACATTATATAGCAAAAAACAAAAAAAGTACCATTCATATGTAAAAAATACATCACCAAAATTTGAGGTCTTTATTTTCTTCCTTCTTGCTGCAGCTCTCGCAGTGGCCTTCGTCTTCTTGGCCTTCTCCGCGGTGCTCTTCGCGTCTCACCCTTCGTCGTTGTTCGTCGAAGTGCAGAGTGTGTGGGTGTGCTTCGGACAGTAGAGCATGTATATCACCTTCTAACCCAAAACAAAGACGAAAGAAATTTTTTTTAATGAAAACGGCTAGAAAATGGTTTTACTAAACCAGTTTTTTGAATTACATTATCACCTTCTAACCCAAAACAAAGACAAAAGAAAAAAAAAATTAAATGAAAACGGCTTAAGTAAAGCCAAAAAAAAAATCCTGAATAACATTATCATCTTCTAACTCAAAACAAAGACAAAAGAAAAAAAAAATTAAATGAAAATGGCTTTAGTAAAGCCAATTTTTTCCCCCCCAGAATTACACATTCTAACCCAAAATAAAGACAAAAGAAATTTTTTTTTTTTTAACATGAAAACGGCTTTAGTAAAGCCAAAAAATATTTCTGAATTACATTATCACCTTCTAACCCAAAACAAAGACGAAAGAAAAAATAAAAAAAATTTACATGAAAACGGCTTTAGTAAAGTCAAAATTTTTTTGAATTACACCTTCTAACCCCAAATAAAAACAAAAGAAACAAAAAATAAATTGACATGAGAACGGCTTTAGTAAAGCCAAATTTTTTTTTTGAATTACATTATCACCAAAACAAAGACAAAAATATATATACATATATATATTTACATGAAAATGGCTTTAGGAAAGCCGTATTAGAAAATGGTTTTAGTAAACCCCATTTTTTGAATTACATTATCACCAGAACAAAGACAACAGAAAAAAAAAATTACGTTGCAATGCCTTTAGGAAAGCCGTATTAGAAAACGGTTTTAACAAACCCGTTTTCTAAATTACACCAGAACAAAGACAACAGAAAAAATAATACAACAGAAAAAAAAAAATTACATGAAAAATATTTTGTGGCAATTTTATGTTGAAAAATATAAACGGATTTTACAATGTTAAAAGCGTGGTTGTAATCCACGCTTTCTGTAGTGAACAGTGAAAGCGTGTTTGTAATCCACGCTTTATGTAGTGAACAGTGAAAGCGTGATTGTGAATCACCTTTTTTTTCAGAAAACAAAATTTAATTATAAGCACAGTAAAAGCGTGGTTTGGAACCACGTTTTCTGAAGGAAACAAATTTTGCTTAAAAGCGTGCTTTCTAACCACGTTTTATGTATAAATGAAATTTCCTTAAAAGCGTGATTACAAACCACGCTTTCTTAATTAAAAACGTGGTTTGTAACTACGCTTTTACTATTTCACGAATTTTCCGTGGGAGGGCTTGGAAACAATGAAAGTGTGGTTTGTAATAGCGCTTTAGCCTAGTTTGAAAATTCTGTCCAAACTAGACCTAGTTTAGGAAATAAATTGCTATTTTGACTTAATTTAGGAAAAGCCTCCAAGTTTACCTATGTTATAGCGTGATACCCAAGGTCCTATTTTATTGGGACTTGTCTTTCCATTTTACTATGGAGGTGTGTCGTAATGAAACGGAATTTGCTTTGTCATTTCCTTTGATTTGATTAACTATGAGCATTGGGACAAAAAATGATAATCCCAGATCTCTAAAAAATTTTTAGAAGCCATGATGAAATTCTGAATGAACAATTGTAAGGCTTTATTTGGG